AGGGTAAAATGGTCATTTGATCATTTAAGGAATTATATACACGTGGGAAATGGGAGAAACATCCAGAGTTCTCTTCTCCTTTCTTCTTCATGCGTGGGAGAGCAAGGCAAAGGTGAGAGTTTTATTAGTTGATTATTATTTGAATTTTAAGCTTGGTTTTGATCTTTAGTTGATGGATAAACATAAGGAAAGCTTGGGTTACAGTAAAAATCAAGAATAGAGGGGTTAAGAGAGATTAAAGATTTTGAGTTTTTATATGAAACTTTGGAAAATAATTGATAAGTAGAATTTGAAGTTAAATTTGACTTGTCAATGGTTAAATTAAGAGATTTGGAGTGATAGAATTTGATTTTGAACATATAGAAAATTTGATATGATTCTTGAATTACATATGGAAGATAGGATTTTGAGGTTTAAGAGGAAATAAATGAATATAGATTGGTTTAAGTATGTGTACTAGAGTTAAGAATGAAAAGGGGATGATATATGAAGTGTTTGAGTGGAAATGAAGTAATTTTCGGGTTGAAAATATGAGTTCTGGGCAAGGGGAATCGGTACCCATTCAAGGGGAACCGATACCCCTTCAAACGACAGAATTCCAGAATGTCTTGAGAGAATCGATACCCCCATAGTAGGGAACCGATTCCCCCTAAAGGAAAATTAGGAATATGGGTTTAATAAGTTCGTTTAAGTTGCTAGTATCCAATTACAAGGTGTAGGTATCTAATGATTACCTCGAAATGTACATTTATGTAGATTCTACGCATAAAGAATTCCGGAACGTTTGGCAAGTAAGATCGATCAAGGGGAAAGATAAGAGATTGAAATTGACTAGTGAGGCCAGGTGAGTGCATATTAATTAGTTTATGGTGCTAAATGGAAACAAGACTTGCGACAAGTCTATTTCCTCTGTTAGAATGCATGAATATATGATTATACGTATATGAATGACATGAATTGTATGTATGCATGATTATATGTGTTAACATGCTTTTGAATGTAATGTTATGAGAAGTATGTGCTATGTAATGTATATATATGAACATATGTGAAACTGAACTATGTGACTGCATGAGAAAGATATGAGCCATATGACATGATATATGTGAACATGAGAAAACAAAGTATAAGATATGAACTATGTGATCCTATGAGAATATGAAAAGAAGCTATGTGACTACATGTATATGTGAAAGAAGCTATGAGCTTATATGGCATGTGATATGAAATATATATGTGAAAACAAGTATATGTTATGAGATAAGATCAATGATTACACGTACATGTGATACGTGACTGAAAAGAAAAGATATGTGGTTATAAGAGAAAGAATATGAATAAGTAATGTGAACTGTTATAAATGATAATGCCCATGTTATGTGATATGAGAGCTAGGGGTATAGTTGGCATGCCAAGGGTCGAGGGTTTACCTATGTTCTTCGGGACATATGGACTGTTTACCTATGTTCTTCGGGACATATGGACTGTTTACCTATGTTCTTCGGAACATACGGACTGTTTACCTATGTCCTTCGGGACATATGGACTGATTACCTAGGTTCTTTGGAATCTATGGACTGGTCCTTCAGGACATTGATCGAGCTGTGGTGACAGCATATGTGTGCACAACCTCAATATACTCACATACCTTAAGTTCTCACTAGTGTACATGGGCTAATAAAGTGATTAAACAAGCATATTGAATGTGATATGTATACGATGGGTTTATAAGTGGTTTGAAATGTGTTACGTGAACCATATGATGTTGTGTGTGTATAGGGTTTGATTGAAAAGGTTAACAATAAAAGTATGTGATTACATGATAAACTGTTAATGATGAATTATGTGTCTGTATGTATTTACTGTAATTAATCTGATATGATTTTATATGATACGAAGAATGCATGGAATTGGTATAACATGATAGAACAGAACATGCATGTATTGATATATGTTATGAAGTGCATTATAAGTTGTTATGCCTCACTAAGTCTTCGACTTAGCGTGTGATTGTTTCACATGTAGGTTTCGAGAAGAGTAAAGAGTAATGCGGAGCAAGACAGGTCAGTTTTCCTTACCAAATGTCAGATCAGAAAATGTATGTACTGTTTACAGAGTGTAGTTGGCATGTAGTCTAAAGATATAAATGGTATGAACTCTGATATCTGTTGTAAACGTTTGGAAATAATTTAAATGTTATCGAAGTTTTTAAATTACCCACTATTTTATACGAATAAATGTTTAAAAAGTCAATGTGACACTTCGGACTCGTATCCGGGTCGGATACGGGTTGGGGGTGTTACATAAGGTAAGTGGGTCTTCAGTTGGTTAATTCTTTCGTTTTAAAGCTTGTTTTGATTCTTGGGATGTTAAAAAAGATTAAGGAAAGCTTTAGGTGGCTTAAAACTCAAAGATTAGCAAGTTATGAGAAATTAAGAAAAATGAGTTTTTAAGTGAGTTTTTGAAATATAATGAGTTAATAGATTTTGAAGTTTAATTTGACTTGTCAAGGGTTAAATTAAGAGATATGAAGTGATAGAATGAGTTTTAGAACATGTTGGAAATTTAGTGTGATTCTTGAATGCCATGTAAATGATAGAATTTTGAGTTTAAAGAAGTGATTATGGAGTAGAAATGAGTTTAAGTATGTGTATGAAAGTTAGGAATATTAAAGGGAGTGAAGTATGAAGTGTTGAGCTGAAAATGAAGTGATTTTCGAGCTAAAAATATGATTTCTGGGCAAGGGGAATTGGTACCCATTCAAGGGGAACCGATACCCCTTCAAACGAACAAAAATTTCCAGAATGTCATGAGGGAATCGATACCCCCATAGTAGGGAATCGATTCCCCCTAAAGGAAAATTGTGAATATTGGTTTAATAAGTTCGTTTAAGATGCTAGTATCAAATTACAAGGTGTAGGTATCTAATAATTGTCTTAAAATGTATAATTTTGTAGATTCAGAGCCTAATCAAGTTCCGGAATCATTGACAAGTAAGATCGATCAAGGGGAAAGATAAGAGATTGGAATTGACTAGTGAGGCCAGGTGGGTGCATACAAGTTAGTTTATGATTTTTAACGGAAATAAGACTTGCGACAAGTCTATTTCCTATATTAGAAGGCCTGAATGTATGATCATATGTATATGTTTGATTTGGGTATATGTGATATATATATTATAGGATGTATTAACGATTTGTGTGAATGCATGCAGTGTGATAAGTTATAGGAATTAATATGAATGATCTATATGATTATATGAGAATGTGAAATAGGTTATATGATAGGTGACCATGCATGTTACATAGTAAATGTGATCAATTATAAGAATCAATATAATAGATTTATATGACTACAGGAGAAGGGTGATGAGTTAAATAAGATTAGACTATAGAGTAATATGAGAATAATATATTAGTGAAGGGAATTGAGTATAAATGATGATGCCAAACTATAAGATAAGTGTTATAGAGAAGAAGTATATTTAAAGAGAATTATGGTATAGGATTTAAGTAAAATTTAACTAAATAAATAGATTAAACTGGTATAAATGGAAAATGAGATAAGTTTGGTAGCATTTACCTAGGAGATAACATAAGATTATATGAATAAGTAGCATAAATGACATAAGGAAAACTTATGTGTTATATGATTTAAGCATTGAAATGAACAAAAGATATATTCAGGTGAAGTTATTCGGTGATATGAATATATGCCATTATTATACGGTTTAGATTAAATACCATACATGAATAAATGTGATTGTGTGAGAAATGATAGAAACTATATGAGAACATGTATATGTGAAAGTAATCTATGTGATTATACGTTATATGAATACAAGAACCTGAGATATGTAACATGTGAATTACATGGAAATGATCTACGTGTAAGTGAACTATGTGACTATGTGATTATATGAAAATGTGATAATGAGTTATGTTCAAAAACTATGAGACTACGTTCCCAGGTAATATGAATATGTGAACATGTGAAATGACATAAATGATAATGTCCATGTTTTGTGTCATGAGAGCTAGGGGTATAGTTGGCATGCCAAGAATCGAGGGTCTACGCGGTCCTTCGGGACATATATATATTCTTTGGAACATGTGTGAAGTCTTGTGAGACACATACTTGATCCCTAGTCTATGTATATGATTCTTAAGGAATGATATGTGGTCCTTATGGACATTATTATATGGCACTTCGGTGCATTTCTACGCGGCACTACGGTGCAATTCTACGTGGCACTTCGGTGCATTTATACGAGTTGTGGTGACAGCATTAGTGCACAACCTCTATAGACTCACATATCTATAGTTCTCAAATGTGTTCATGGGCTAATAAAAATGATAAGATAAATAAACTTGATATGATCATATGTTTATTTTGTTGTGAAGTGATATATGTGCTATGATGTGATAATTAAGGATATTATGGATAAGAGTATAAAATTATAAGGACTAATGTACAGATTGATAATAATAGAAATGATTATATATAAATATGTATGTTTTGATATAATGATATGTGTGTTTCTCGTGACATGGTACAAGTGCACATATATGTTGATGTATATGTAAATGAGTTGTATGACTTGATAGCATAAAACAATCATGCATGATTAGTGGGTATGAATTTCATTAGATGTGTTTTTTATGCCTTACTAAGTCATCGACTTAGCGTGTGATTGTTTCACACGTAGGTTACAGAAGCGAGAAGAGAAGAGAAGAAGAGTAAGACAGGTCAGCACCTCCCTTACAAAATTTCAGATCAGAAAATAGAGGATTTAAATGTTTTTGGTTATTTTGAGTATAGTTGGCATGTACTAATTGGTTGAATTAAGTATGCTCTGATTGATTTTGGTTATTGTGGTCAGTTTATATAACTAAACCGCTTTTACTTTAATGATATGTTTAAATTTTCTTTGAATTTTGTCAAGAGTCAAAGTTTGAAAAGTCAATGTGACACCTCATAGTCGTATCCGGGTCGGATACAGGTTGGGGGTGTTACACATCATGTCCTCACTGCTTCCTCCACTAGTCCCATGTCTTGTACCTGCCGGTTTTCTAACCAAGGCGTCGTGTTTCGTATCAAGGTGTGAATCATTGTCGGGTTCAACGGTCACGGGAATCATAGCAGGTTCGAGCTCCTGAGGACTGACTGATGGCTTCTTCATCTCTTCATACTTTGAGACAACTTTCTGGAGATCATCATTGACATTCAAAGCTTCAAAAAGTAGGACCTCGTTATCTCCAGCGGTCTCGATGATTCCTAGAACAGTCGACTGGGACTGGCGACATTGCCGGACAAGAGTATTCGTCAAGTCATCCTGACAACAAAGTAAATTGTGAAATTTAACACAGAAGAAAACTCCAGGACATTGTGAAATCTTATCTATTGTTTCTATTGACAAAGATCTAAAAAAAATCACAAGTTAAATTGCATTCAATAGTCTGCAAAAAGGTCGATAAGCTTAAGTCTAACTCGATGACGCCGTCTTACAACCACAAAGCATCAATTCGAATACACCCTTCTAGCAAAGCATATATAACAAGTCGTGGACATTCATTTCAACGTTTAGACTATGAGCCTTCAAGTGCAATAAAGACCATAAATGGATAATATAAATACCTAAAGCTCTAGAAAGAAGTATTCTTCATTAAAATGGAGCAAAATTCAAATTTTACACAGACAATATGATCTTTTCTACATTAAAAGCTTCGCTACACGCAACAGAACGCTAAACATTATTTAACAAAGAAATTGATGAAAGACACCACTCGTTAAAGATATAATCCGACTATGGCTTGGATTTTTAATGCTTGTTACTGGTAATCTTATATGAACCGAGAAACTAAGTGAAAAAAAATAATATTAAAAAAATACCTCGAGAGCATCTTGTTGGGGTGATGAGGATAACACAGTTGAAAGAAGTTCAATGTTGTTTCTTGCCACATCAAATGCTTTCTTTGTTTGTTCAGCTGTAAAGCTTTGGACAGGAATATCACGCTCAAGCTGCATCTCGTGTCGAAACTGCTCGTCGAGACTAGCATCGACATCTGGAACAAAAGTTGAACGAGCAGGAGTAAAAATAGATGCCAAGCTCTCATTGTCACCACCCGGAAAGCGAATACCCCTTGATTTTAAACTCTACAACAGAGAAAACGATCATTAGGTTTGCTTGGTTAGTTATGTCAGTTCAATATAGTAGGGTAAGCTTTTGATGCATATAAATTATGGTTCTTACCCCTAGGCTATTTTTGTATCCAAGGTAGGTTAGTGGTGTCGATCCGAGATACACGTAAATTCCTTCGACCCCACTGCCAGACCTATCCCATGTCCATTTGTGTCAATCATGCATTTATGGATCCATCATTTTAGTACGTCATATATGTTAAAGCTTGCCTTGAAGGCTATGTGAGACCATACCAATGCTTTAGTTTGTGCGGGAATTATACATATGCTATATGACATTAGGTTTCCTTTAGTGATGTACCTTATGGCTATGTGAGGACCAGGAGATCATTCAGTATGTTTGTAGGAATTACGCCGATGCTATGTGATACAGGGATTCCCTTTAGTAACTAGTGTCTAAGAGCTATGTGAGACCATATATTACTCAGATAACATTCAGGTAATGCACATCATGTCAGGGTTGCATTCATGTAATGCACAGTATGTTAGGTCCGCATTCAGATAATACCTACCATGTTAAGTTATTAAGTTTAGAGTCCCTTTAGAGGTGTACTCAGGGTGAGGCCCATAGCAGAGGACTAAGGGAAGCGTGAGACCCCTACGTCCGAGTTAGAATAGTAAAGCCTAAGTAGGTAGTATTTGACCTATATCATGCATGTACCTACTGCTTAGTGTCTTGTCTTCAACATGCTTATGTTTATGAAATCCTTATACTGCTCTAGATTAGCTATTATATTGTTGGGCTTTGTAAGCTCCGCCTTCGGATGTTTTCTGTTGGCAGGTTTCTAGTTGGGTCGTTTGTGGAGCACCATCATTGCATGACTTGTAGCATCTCCATCAGAGTATTGTTCTGTAACTTCAGTGGGCATATGTATTCATAGGACCTTACTTATGTATTTGAGTTGAAATCTTTAAGATGTATTATTTTGTTTTAAATTAAGTGTCATGGATCTCCGATTTTTTAAAATGTTTTTATAACGGTTCTTTATATTTTATTTATGATACCATTCAATACGTTTGTAAGGAAAATGAGCAGGTTTTCAAATTCAAAGGTTGCCTCGATAGTCCAATGTGACACTTTACGCCTAATTGAGTTTAGGGTGTTACATTCCGTCATCATCCCAAAATTCTTATCATAGTGCCAATAATAACCAGTTGTGTACGACCTAATGTACTTTCAAACTTATCATGGTACCCACGACTAAATTGGTCAATAGTTCCCCTAACAACAATAACAATAATTTGCAAAAACAAGTTTAAAAGCTTCCATGCGCAGATCCAACTACAGTTGTAGTAGCAAAATCAGCAAAACAAGAGTTAATCCAAAAATAATTCTCCACGAGTTACTAATCTCTCATCACTAAAGAAGTAGACATCGTAAAGAGGAAAAAGAAAGAGCCTCTAACGTCGAAGAAAGACGTCAGCAAGAGTATACCACCACTCCCATAAACACTTTAGATAGCATAACCTCTCAGATATTGAGCACAACGACGACACATATTACATTTTGAATGATTGATGAATTTTTTTAACAATCATAGTAAATTAAGTACTTAAAATAATAACGATCAAAACATTAAACACATATTTTAAAACCAAAAATACTTTAAATACCTAAATGGATTAAAAACTATAATTTTGTTCTTATTTTTTTATTAACCCTTTTTTATTGGCATAATAATAAAATTATCATTCAACGTTTGTACAAATTATAGTTTTACCGTTATCATTTTTTGGAGCATTTTAGCCCCCCCAACGTTTTATTTTGGAACAAAATGTCTTATGGATAGATGTAAATCGTTAGTTGACTAAAGATCAACATTTTCTATAGATGTGACAAGTCCACATGTGATACCACATCATCAAAAAATATTTTTACACGTTTATATGTAATTAATTATAATTATAATTAACTCTAAAAATATTTTTTTTACTGAAGTGACATCACATATGAACTTGTCACGTTCATATGAGAAACATTGACAATTAGTCAAATAACAATTTTTATCAAACTAAGGACATTTTGCTCCAAAATAAAACATGGGCTAAAATACTAAAAAAAAATAGGGAGAAAGAAAATAGGGCTAATATGTCTATTTGAATAAATATTGAGGGCTAATTTTGTTATTATTCATTTATTATTATTATTTTGGTTGTTCTTTTTCTTCCCTGTTGATCGGTCGCTCACAGCCAATTCCCCCCACCCCTCTCCAACTTTAACCCTTGCTTTGAACCCAAACGTAAAACCCCAAAGAAACTGTTCTTCCCATTTAACCCAAAGTCAAAAACTTCAAGATCCAACTCTGACCCACAGCTTCTAATCGGTATAGTTTCTCTATTTCTTTGTTCTTTCCCCGTTAAATTTTCTCAATGCCGTTGATTGTGGAAGTGTTTTCTTTAGTAATGAATGTCTAGTATAGGGCTGTAAATGAGACGAGACGGATCGCGAGCTATTCGAGATTAACTCGATCAAGGCTCGATAAATACTCGGATCGAATGGACTCGACTTGAACTCGAGTTCGACTCGAGTTCTTAACGAGTTGAAACGAGCTACTCGATATTCGACTCGAAAAGCTCGTGAGCAGCTCGAAAATATAATATATCAAGATTTTATTTAAAAAAATTATTTAAAAAAATAAAATAATAATAATAATAATATTTATGTATTGATTTTTTTTTAAAAAACCTATAGTAAGATTTCATGTATTTAAGGTTCATGTTCAAATTTGAGGCTTTAATCGAGTTAAGTTTAAGAATTTTTTTTCATTTCGAGCCTTTTTCGAGCTGCTCACGAGCTTCAGTTCAAGATTTTTAGTTCGAGTCGAGCTTGAAAATTTTAAGCTCGCGAGTTTTCGAGTCGAGTCGAGCTCCATTTCAGAGTTTTCGAGTCGAGTCGAGCTCAGCAATACTCGAGCTCGACTCGGCTCGTTTACACCCCTAATCTAGTATAAAGTTTGGAACTTGCTAGTTTGATTGCTATTAATGTTCTGAAGCCTCAGTGTCTGAGAACCTTATTGAATGAAAATTAGGTGTTTGGGTGTTTAAATTAATTGGATCAATCACGTTTTACATATTTCGAGTTATTTTGTTTGATATCGGCTCTGGCTTCAGAGTTTAAAGTTCTGTTACTTTTATTTATTTGATTTAGCTATTGTTTGGTTGTTGTTTTCCCCTCATTTTTGGAAGCAGAAAATTTAGAAATGCATGATTATACCATATATTGAACAATAATTATGCTAGAATTGGTGCTAACCGTTAATTGTTTGTTCCTTTTCTAATTAATTATCATTTCGCCTTTTACCATTTACTTTTACATGTTAGCACGAATGTCATAGCAAAGCCAGAAAGCAGATTATGAGACCACCAACTAAATGGGGTTAGTTCTGCTGTGCGGCAGCTTAATATAAGGCGGATTTTAACTGAAAATGTTATCATGTTCAAAGTAAAAAGTTATGCAAATTTGTAACATTTTTTATTGCAACCGGCAAGTTATACAACCGAAAAAGTTATACAAATTTGTAACATTTTTTGTCGCAACCGAAAATGTTACCTTATGTTACGAAGAAGGTAACATTTTCGGTTTCAACCTAAAATATTACTCAGCCCAATATAGAAAATTACTCTCTTGATAAGATTTTCGGTTGCAACCGATTTTTGCCCTTTTTTAGCCTTATATTAACAAGTTTTATTGTAGAATTTCGGCTAAACGGGGCCTAAATAAGCCCTTGTTGAACAACATCTATTGTTACTACTACCAATATAAGATTACTAGTTTGTTTGTTTTTGTCTCCCGTTCTTTTATCTGTATCATGATTGTAATTCTACTGAAACCTCAAGGTGGATATTTTAAATCTATTTAAGCACAGTGTGATTTTCCTTTGAGTTTTAACTGGATGTTTTCTGTGTCTCTTAGGAAAGTGGGAAATTTTCATTGGTTCTTTAAGATGGTGGATTTGTCATGGTTGAGTGCCATCCTAGTTGGGGCAGGCTGCCTTGCCTTGGGGTATTGCGTTGGTAAGTGTCATCCCACTTATTTATTTCTCTCATCGAGAGGAACTACAGATACTACAATCTCTAAATCAAATAAGAAGATCAAAGAACCCTTGGAAATCGAAAAGTTGGCTGACATTCTAGAGGATTTTAAAATGGTATTGAACTGTTTCTCTACTCTGTTGGATCGGTATTGTTATGTTACGCAAACTGTTTAATGTGAGAGAATGGAGATTGAACATCTCTGTCTTTCTTTTATCATCTTCAGGTCCTGGTTGTAAGAAATGATCTTAAGATGGGTAAAGGGAAAATTGCCGCCCAGTGCAGGTGAGCCTTGTTTTTGTATAGTTTTATTAGTTATGAAGCTTTTCATTAGACCCAACTTTTTCTGCTGAGAGATGAACTCGCTAGTCAAGCCAGGTAGTGCAGTAGATGTTCTGTTATATTAGAATGTACTTTGTGATTATTGATAGATCCTTTCCTAACCCTTAATTTTGTTGATTAGATGGGATATGCTTATTCCTATTAACTGATTATGAATATCCTTCCGAGAAAAAATAAACCGTCAAATAGAACTGACTGCTATAACCGTCAAATAGAACTCTGACTGCTATCAGTTAAATTGTAATTATATTTGAATACTTGGGGTGTGATAAGCAATTCTCAAAGCATGTCGTACTCAATAAATGATTGTAATTTTTGCACTGTATCAGTTGTGACACATTATGATTCCCATCATGGCATGGCATCTTGTAAGAAACAAAACTAGATTTAACCCATTGCGTCAGGTTATCTTTTAAGTTCCCCTTGTGCACCGTGCTGCTTCAGCCAATAGGCAGTTTCATTTCCTGCCATCTTTAAACATAATGCTGCTACTTTTCTTGTTGCTCATTCTGCCATCTTATAAGGAATTTCATGTAAATTTAGAGTCACTGATATTTTGTACTCGCTGTTAAAAAGTGGTAAACTCATCTGATGTGATTTATTAACCTCTTGTTGCATGACCCTTGATTGATTTGCACAGTTTTTTCTTGAAAAAATTTGTTCTGATGAATCCCTTTTTGTTTACTCCGTAATCCAACTTGTTTTGTTTTTCCTTTGAATGTTTAGTCATGCAACTTTGGGTCTTTACAAAAAACTCCTACATCGAGCACCAAAATCATTGAACAGGTAGAGGATTTCTAGCATTATACTATTGAAACTATTGCTTTTCATTCTATCTCTGTCCGTGTCTGTTTCTTTCATTTTTGTCCATATGTTGTTAATATGCAGGTGGGAGATGTGTGCTCAGCCAAAGGTGGTGGTGAAAATTGACAGCGAGAAAGATATGCTATTTTTGCAAGTAACCGTGATTTAATATTTATTCCTGTGCACGCCCTCTACTATTATCACCATCAACCTTGTAATTTAATTAATATGTATCAACAATTTATCCACAGAGAAAGTTTGTCAGTAGAAAAAGGCTGTGTTTCAGATGAAAGAAAGATTTTATTATGATGCAACACTTACCACTTTACTGAGTATTGGTGAAAGAAATTGGTTATTTGGTTTTGCATTTGTGGACAGTAGAAGGCAGAGCATATTTACTTGTTTATACAAAAGAGTGGCTCTATCAGATTTATCCATCTTTCTCGATTTGTGTGTGAACCATTTAATTTTTTACTTATGAACCTTGCTGTTGATAATTCTTTGATGCAAATCTTAGGACTTGGTTGATGTTTCCTTTTTTGTTGCCAAACCTGTCTCCAATAAGAGGTCCACACTTCACTTTTTTGTATGGCATCAACTACATTTTGGTCTTACTCTTCTCATTAGAGTGTCATTATTTCTAATTATATATCTCGATATTTCAATTTACATTGATTTATCAATTATTAGCTAGAATTTAACTTTTCAGGAGAGGGCAAAATCGCTAAATATACCAACGCATATCACCATTGACGCAGGGAGAACTCAGATCGCACCAAGTGAGTGGCATGGTTTATTTTCTCTCTTAATAATTTATGTCATCAAGGTTTTACTGAATCCTAAATCATCAGTTTTATAAATTGCTCAATCTCAGTTTATCTCATTATTTCTAGAAAATTTATCAATAAGTGGAAAATGGTTTACACAGCATCATCCAAACACCGTAAAATGATTTCCGTTAATTGTTTTCTAGAAAATGTAATTCATTTTACAGAAAATCATTTTATGGAATATGTTTTCAGTGAAACAGACAGTCCCTAAGGATTAAACAAGAGAAAATGTTGAAGAAGCAGATTGTAGGTTGGGATATTTTGCTATCATTGGCGTTTGTGTTGCATTTACTGGGTGGTGTTATGAAATCTCTGTTCTTTTTTTCTCTATATGATTTTCAGAACGTTGAAGACAAACTATCATTATCTTAAATCATTCATCTTATTGGGATATGTTAGCAAGGATAAGCTATGGGATCATTTTGATGCTTTTCTATGAATGTGGTTTTATTCTTTACGAACGCGAAACCTCGGAGTTATTTTTATTGTTAGAAGCAATGAGGCTGATAACTCTAGTGGTGCTGATCCAAGCTTAAAGAAAGAAATAGTAAATTGTCTAATTGTTAGGAATACATAGGTTTTGGTCATCGATTCAGACCGTTCTCGCTTCGCTGCATCACAAGCACATTCCTGCATTTAGGTTCTTAAGTGAACATTATCGGCTTTTTCTTTCTAAAGGCCTTATGTTTTAATATATGCATTTTCAGATTCGAGGACGGTGATGGCTATTCTCGGTAAGCGTCTCTTGTTCCTGCAAAACCTGTGGATTCCTTTTTCTTTTATCGAGTTCTACAATGCAATGCTCTTTGTAGGACCTATCGAAATGGTGGATGATGTAACCGGCGGACTGAAGCTATTGTAGCGGTTTTGTCCGAAAGGCCTCGGATTCAAGAACTTTGAGGAGCATCTAATCTACAAAGTTATGATTAGTTTTGCTTGAAGATATTTCGTCCGAGAAACTTATGTGAAAGATCCATCGCATACTTGGTGCTGGATTCCTGGAAACTTACTTTTCAGTTTTGTGATGATTACGAAAAGTTAACTGTTGTGAAGACGATCGGAGAATTGTTTCATAATATTCAGTGACATTTTTTGAACAGTCTGAGACCTCGGGTTGATTTTAAGGTAGAATATGTTTATAATCATTTTTAACTATTGATAACGTGCACGTATCTAACAGATACAATTGTTCGAATTCAAGACTTCAAGAGAAAACAATATTCTTTAACCACTGTGGTCACTCGAAACCGTTTTGGATGAGCAAGAGCATTTGATTGGTTGGTTGTCATTTTTGTTTTCTCATATTTTCTTAAGTCATAGGTACGAGACACTAAGAGTATTCCCCTTTCCTCTTTTTTTTAGAATTTTTCCTTCCCCTCTAAGTAAGACCAAGACTGGATTTAGAATGAGGATTAGATTTTGGATAATGTTTTAGATGTTGAACATATTACTGTTATGAACATTTTCCAGAGTTTTGTTAGACGTTTACAATGAATTTGCATTGCTTCGCCCAAAACCCAAACTTTTGCTGATAAAATACCGTATCTTGGAGAAATAATTTGGTGAACCCGAATCATCAGGTTATTTATGGTCTCAATTAACGAGATTCATCCACTTTAAAGTAATTTTCGAATTACCCGTTCCTTATTTATAAGTAAGAAAAAGGTGAAGATCCATTGTGAGAAAAATGAAATAGTAGATGTTATTGATTAGAACCATGAATGACTTATTGAATCAAACCATTTAATAATTTTTCTTCTTGTCGACATCGATACCTCCTTTTCAACGATAAAAATAACATAAGAATATTTTATTTTACTCTTCAAATATTTTTCAATTTATTTCAAATCTTTATAATGTAGTGTTTTAATACAAAAATAAGTGTTTAAATTATATCTCGAAAAACGATTTGGTGCCTAAAGGATATTTTTTTTTAAATCGATGCCTAACATTTTCTCATTTACACTTCTTGGTGCCCTTATTTTTTTTTTTAATAATAACAATATTATTTTTCTAATGAAAAAATAAATAAAACTTAATTTATTTACAAAATAACCCCAAACTTTTAATAAAATTATATAAAAAACTAAAATCTCTCGTTTCAACCTTGTTACCAATCGTCGCCGACCATCTCTGGCCACCATCATCGTTGTCGAACGATCACCCACCCGTCGCTCTTACCGTCACCCATCGATCAACCGTCGCCCTTACCGTCGCCCAAATCCCCTAAAACTCTAAAATCGCAACTTACATACCCCTAAACCTTTAAAAAGCTTAATATCCACGATGGAACGACATAGGAGCACTGACGGAACAACGACGAATATGGGTTTTGAGCAAAATTGCACGGTGATTAGAATGGTGGTCACCCTAAAAGTGTTCCGATGAAAACGTTAGACACCTAATTTTAATAAAAAATTCTTTAGACACTAAAACATTTTTCGAGATAAAATTCAAACACTTATTTTTGTATTAAGCCTAATGTAATAGATTATTTCACGATGTACTTATATTGATGTAAATAATTATATTAACTAAATATAATAATATTTCAAAATATTGATATTATAATTTATAATAAATACTTCATAATAAATATTTTTAAAACGATAATGTCCACAACAATATAAGAAAATAACTTTTTAAAAACTATTATTTAGAAAATGTCACTTTCCAAAATCCATTTTCAATAAACAAATCAACCCATGATAAACAACTTGACGTTGAATTGTTTGCAATTCAATTATTAGTGTTTAAGCCACAAAGTATACCAAACATATCAAACGGTATGTAACAAACTAGTCTACATTTTAAGTTCTTTTAGCTATTGTCCAAATCAGAGAGTCGAACTCCGACAACGAGATCCATACCTGCTATTTACAAATCTTCTGCAAATTAAAGGATTAAACCTTGTGGGGATGACGGGCGTCCAGCTCTGGGAGATTCAGACTCATCCATCCTTGCATACCCCTTCGATTTGTGCGCTTCTTCCTCCTCCGCCAACACCTTCTCCTTCGTCTTCTGGGTGACGTCACCTGCAGCTTTAGTGACCCTGTTGAATGCACCGGTGACCCACGAGGTTCCGGTCAAGACATAACGATTCTTCATTACAGCGGAACCGGCGTTGCTGACTGTCTGCTCGGCGGCTGCGATAGCGGACTTGGTCTTCTCGGAAACCTGGAACTTCTGGTCCATTTCCCTCACCTTGTCATTCACCAAGGTAGTGCCGACGCTGATTTTCTCAGTGAAACCGATCTTCTGGTCCAGAGATGCTACTTTGGCGGTGGCAGTTGATGTGAAATGATGCTTGTCATCGAATGCCTTCGCTTTGTTCACGGCGTCTTTGCCGAGAATGAAACCCTTGGCTAGCATGCTGGTTACTACATCCTCTGCCTTCTGGACAGCAGATTCTGCCTGGCCAGCATCTTTGCTCTGTGTTGCCTAAGGTAATCAAAATATTCATTCATATTAAAATCGAATCGCCATTTCGTAAGTGAAGTCAAAGCAGATTGCTACAAGTTAGCAAAATTACAGGAGTTACGGTGGCAGTAGCGGGTGGCTTGTAATCAGGAGCCAGCTCTATGGTAACAGATTGATCTACAATTGTTGCCCCCTGAAAAAAAACAACACTGAACTCTCATTTCATAAGAATGAAATTATAAATTTCCGTCCAATCAATGAACATTAGCAGCATCAGCCACAAAAGGCATTAAAAACTATCCATATATGGAACTAGATTCGGTCATTTCCTTGACATTAAACTATAAATTTAAATCAATTACCCTAAAACAAAGCATAGAGAATATTCAAAATACAAATCCAAATACTTTTAGTCAAATGCATGCAAGGATTTCATTTACAACGTTGTCAGCAAACCTACCTCAAAGGGAGATATCTTTCAGTAGCAATGGTTATTGACTTATAATTGATGAAATACTTAACAAAGAAAAAGGTCATTGGCACGGCAATCCAACAGGTAATGCATTAAAGTATTCACTTTCAAAAGCATATCATATATGAGATTCCAGAAGGGAATTATAAACAATTCATTCATTGTTTTTGGATAGTTGATTTATTTCAATATCCATGGAAAGCAGAGAGCTCATGCTTACGAAGTTTACCAGCTTTACATATTTCACTACAAATGGAAATTGAACTCATATCATATAAATATCTACCACAATATGTAGCAAATATATACATTTAATCACCATATATATCAGACTAACCATTTTCCTTCAGCCCATAGAATAAAATCTAATTATGTGATGCATGTCTGAAAAGGTGCAAATGATTAAGATACTTGATACCAAAAGCTCAAAAGAAATGGGATGAGTGCATACAGAAAGAAGAACAGCAGTCTCTGCTCCCTGTGGTTCCTTGAAAGTAACATATGCAAATTGTGACCGCTCAGTATCGCTGAAAAGGGAAAAAATGGAAGCAATAAGAAACCTAGACCAGGTAATGTTCGCAGAATTGCAGAACATCACTATACTGGAAGACGGAAGTAGTAGTTTAAACAATCATCATAAATTTTATCTGTATCCATACAGTAGAGAACTGCCCCAAAAAAATATAAGCTTAAGTATCTAATGGTAATCACTAACCTACGCATTTCGACATGTTCAATGTCACCGGAGAATGAAAAGAACTCCTTAATGTCTTGCTCAGATGCACCCAAGGAAACGTTGCATACTTTCACCGATTGGATCTGTCAAATAAAATAAGTCATACAGCCCAAAATAGGCAAAGCATATTCAATCCATCATCATTACATCCATTACTAAGAAATCATCCCAAAAGTTTTTAGTTTGAATACAATTTTTTTCATTAGGTTTCATCATCATAGAAAGGTAGCATCTTAGATTAATAATCACAAAAGCGCGTGTCCAAACGAGCAAGAGTATCCAATATTATCAAATTAAATCATGCACTGATTGTTTTCAACTTTTTCTCTAAAGCAAGCATTACTAGAGCAATACTTTACATAAGAAATTGCTAATCAACGCACAAAACGGAATCAATCAGATCCATAAGTAGAGTCACATACAAATCCAGAGAAGGTACAACCAAATTCTCTGAAGTTTCATACCTTTTGCATGAAATTGAAAAGGAAAATATTTTAAAAAAATTACGAACAAAATAACAGATATACATGTTAAAACACAGAACAAGGACAAGTTAGATCTTGAAGGTGAACTTGAAATGGAAAATTATAAAAACTTTTCTCCCCAACCAAACAAGATACTTCAAAAAAAAGAATAAAAATAAAAATTGCTCTAACCGCCATTCAGTCCCGTTTCTAGCGAAAAAGATAGAATCTTTCTTCAGCGTAAGAAAATGTTTTTCCTCTGCTGCGTTTCTAACAAAACTTAAAAGAAGGGGAAATTTCATGCGAAGATTGGGGTGATTAATATCCTCTGCGAACATCCTTAGTTTCTTACTATGGATCTATTTCTTTGATGCCAAAAGTGACATGATAAAATACACAAATGGTCCCAACTATATAATGTTATTTTTTTAATTCTTCTATTATTAAAATTTATAAAATAATTTTTGATTATTAAATATTATTTTATTGAGTTCATCTACTATTAAAAATCATAAAATGATCATTTAATTGTTCATATGTATCAAAACTATCATTTTTTGTTAAAAAATTGGTAGTCATTTGAGTTGGACATTAACATGTTAACTGAGATATAATAAAATCTGATCTTATAACTATTTTTGATGTATTTTGTAGACAGACTATTTATTTACATTATGTCATCAAATCAATGCTTGAAAGCAAACAATGTCAATAAACATCATTAAAATATAATTTTTATTGTATTTTATCAATAGATTAACGTTCAATTCAAATACCTTTAATTTATTAACATAAAATAATATGTTTAAAATATATGAATAGTTAAATAACTTTTTCATAACTTTCAATAATTAAAGTATTCAACAAAATAATATCATATAATTAAACTATCTTTGATAACTTTTATAATCCTTTCTGATGCAGCGTCGATGTCCGAGGGTATGATTGGAATATTGGTGCAAGTGATGTAAAGATTTAGGTAGATCCGGGTGTAGATGATTTGAAGAGGCGTGGGCGTTGACGTGTAAATGGACGTGGTCATGAAATTTTCATTTTGGGTCATCTCGGTTTGCTCGAGGTTAAATCTATATCGTAGTAGTTAAGTAATTTCAATGTAATATATAAAAAAATAATTAAGAAACTGTTTGATGTAAGAAAATATATTTATTTTTTTAATAATTATTGTCCATTTTTTATAATAACTAATATCTGATTTATTGATAAATTATTTTGAATCGGATACTACAAAGATAAGAACTACACTTTCAACACAATTTACTCTATTTGCAATCGTCAAGATTCGAACTCCTGATCTTGCTTAAGAATCTAGTGTTTGTACTCATCCCATTTAAAAAATTTATATTATTAATATTTATTTTAAATGCTCTCAATCATTTGACAATGAACGCTCAATCACCCTGCTACAGTCGTTGGTGTTCGAACTCATGATCACTAGGAACAATAACGATTCTTTTAACCATTGAGGTAAGATGATTCGTGAAATAATTTTATAAAACTAAACATTCATTTATTATTGTAACCCCCTATACCCGGCCTATGTATTACGATCAGATCTAGCGGATTACAATAAAAAATTTCTAAAAACATTCTTTAATAACTTAAAATCTGAATTATAATTATACATCTTTAAAAATATATTTTATAGCATCAAAATTTAAATTCAGTAAATTAAAGTCGAAAAAATAAAATATTTCAAAATCAGTATCGAAGCAAATCTAGCATCAGTAACAAAAGTAGTATTTTCAAAATATATACACATGTAACCCAAATTAACTACAGCTCGAAAGATAAAAACATAACGAAAAGTCACTGTAGTAATGAATTAAGATGACATTTTGGTTATTTAAGGGAGGAAATGAATTTAAAATTCATTTCCTTATTAGGTATTGTTTTAAAGGAAATTTGGAAAGTTAAGTCAACAAAATCATATATTTTTCTTCTTCTTCCCCGTGTTAAGGCTTTCCTTCATAGCCAAAGGTAAGGTTTAATTTGGCTAGCTTTTCTTTTCGTTTTTTGTTGGTTTTTGAATCATTGAGTATTATAGAGGCTTAATGAGGGGTTAAATAAGATTAAAACTAAGATATGGATAAAATATTTGAGATTTAAGAAAATGAGTTTTTGAATTATATGTTAAGATATGAGTTTTTATTGATGTTTACTGGTATATTTGACTTGTCAAAGAAGTAAATAAGAGATTAGAATCCATGGATGGGTTTAAAAACATGTTAGAAAAAGTGGTATGATTCTTGAATTAAAATGTTCTTTGGAGAGTATATATTTTATAAGAAGCTAAATGAAGGAAAGTTAGTTGTGATAAGTGAAGAAGAGTTTGATAGTATTGTTGGAGGTAAAAATAAGGGAAATTGACCAAATATGGGTAAAAAATCGGGCTGAAAATGGAAAATCTGGATAAGGGTATCGGTACTGGAAGAACAATACCGATAATATAGGTTTAATTTTGGAAGAAATCAGATGAACAATATCGATACTAATGCGATTAGTATCAATACTGATGTGGGTATCGATACTATGAGGAAGGTATCGATACCATTGATTCCAAAATGTAGAAATGGTATCGATACTGTAAGGGGAGTATCGGTACCACAATATAGAAGTATCGATACCATGGTAGGGGTATTGATACTATTGAGCCATGAATTTTAAGATAGGCTGAGATTGTTATAGAAAATTAAAAAAATAGTACTTTTGAGTATTGTTAAAGTATAAATGTTAGGGAATATACTAACATTTGGTATGATATGTGTCTTTAATGGATGTTTGAGTAGATCGCAATCAAGCTCCCGAGTCAAGCAAAACGAAAGGCAACGATAAAGTCGCTGAGTAGTCAGATTTGCGTTTTGGATATAATAGCGAGGCAAGTCAGGTGAGTGCAGTTCTTATGTACTTATATGTTATGGTAGTCATAGATGCATGTTGCTTAATGTATGTATTGTAATTTCCGTATTGGCACCGTGTGTGCGACATAAGAAATTCATAATAAGTTTATGAATTTTCGTATTAGCATTGTGTGTGCAACCTAATAAATTTATAATAAGTCACTATGTGTGTAACTTAAGAAATTCATAATAAGTTTATGAATTTCTGTATTGACACTGTGTGTGTAACCTAAGAAATTCATAATAAATTTATGAACTTTCGTATTGACACTGTATGTGCAACTTAAGAAATTCATAATAAGATTATGAATTTTCGTATTGACATTGAGTATACAAACCACTTAATTTATAGTAAGTTGTGAATTACCGTATTGACACTACAGTTGTAAACTATAGAGTTTATAATGAATTGAAAGAGTTAATTGATATCAGAATTGTTATGATATACTCGTGTTTAGAATTTTTCTTATGATTACTTATGCCTCACTAAGACATTACTTAGCGTGTATGAATATACACGTTCAATATTAAATGGTTGAGAGTTATCTTTGAACATATATTATCTTGTACTTATTCATATTACTTTAGAAATATTAAAGATATTATAATAAATCAAGCATTCATTATGAGATTCGAATGAATGGCTAATAATTGAGGCTATACTTATTTAAATTGGATAAATGTCTAATGGCATTTTTTATTCTTCAACTTTAGAAAATATTTTAGTATTTAATTGTTTTGTCTACTCTTACCTTTATATCTCCATTTTTGTTTAATTGAATCAGATAATAAAATTTGTTGAGATAATGTTTAATTAATTGTTATTTTTTGTTTAAAAATAAAAATAAAAATAAAAATAAAATAATAGTATATGTATTATTATTTGATTAATTTAATTTAAAAATAATAAGATTTCAAGAATTAAAAAATTTGAAAGAGAAAATATTATTCAATCAAGAATACTGCATATGATATGCAATCACCTAATCATTGACAAAAAAAATTATATCATTGATCATTTAATTATTTAATCATTTTATTTTTATCGCCGATCTTTTAGTTTTATTAATCAGATTACCTAATTATATAATTGTTGTCAATTAAGCCACTAACAATTAACAATTGACGGAAATATTGATGTGACAATTAAAAAATAATATAATTATACATTTAGTCATTAATATTTATATATTATATCAGTTTGGTCATAATTTAAATTTAATTTAATAAATTAATCATTCAATCAGGAATCGACATGATTCAGATCATGAAACGTGTCGTTAATGACACATGTCACCACCTGATTTAAAGATTTTATCTATTTATTTTAATTTAGTTAATAAATTAAATTTTTTATCCAATCAAATGGTGACACGTGTCATCATCCGGTTGGAGGAAAATTAAGTTACAAAGAAAGTATAAATGGAAGGGTTTGGGAGGAAAATTAAGTTAATAACGATATAAAATACATATATTTCTTTATATTTTTTAATATGTAATATACATATATCATACAAAGTCGATGGACTCGGCCAAAACTTTAAAATTAATTTACTAATTGCTAAAAAAATTGAATTATTCAAGTTACTAATTGAGTTGTTCGAGTTGTATTCCACAACTCAATTTGAACTTAAAATTTTTCGAGTCAAGTCGAGTTTATGAAAGTACAACTCGAAATCAATTCGAATTAATTTTTTTCAAGTCAAATCGAGTCGAAAAAATTAATTTTTTAAGTCAAATCGATTCTTGCTGAATTCAGTGATGGTAAAGAATTGTTAGTAATGCTTACATTGTTAGTGTTATAATAATTGAATACGGTGTGATTATATGCAAAATTACAAGGGAATGTATATTTGCAATAACTAAAAGGAAAGAAATAGTTGCAAAGGGTAGAAAATGGCCATGTTAGGTGGTGGGGAACTCATCAAAACAAATTGATTGGAGGTTAAATTTTCTAAAATTATGTTAAATTAAGATTATATTAATTTAACGTGTAAATAAGAAAGGTTAAGATTATTATTATTCTAATTAAAAATAATATTCTTTAAAAATTATTGATGAATGAAAAAACATATAATCTAAATTTTCTTTTTAGTAGTATGTGGTAATTATGAAATAATATATGTTCATAATATCTTTTAATTATCGACAACACACACATTTTACATATATAATTGTTTGAACCTAGAACTTTAAGGGATAACAACACTCATTTTAAACACTGAGACCACTCAATGAGTTCATTAACATTTGAGTTAATTGCATTATATGTCCCCAAACACTATGGCTCTCATTTTAAATTAGTCCATAAACTTTTAGATATTTTAATTTAATCCCCAAACTATGACTCTCATTTTAAATTAGTCCTTAAACTTTTGAACATTCTATTTTTATCCCTAAATTATGACCCTTTTTCTAAATTAATCCCTAAACTTTTGAATATTCTAATTTTATCCCAAAACCCAAAACTCGTCCAAATATGTGATTAGTTTCAATCATATTTAACCTAAATTTTGCTTTTCTTCAAACATATAATAATATAACTTGGACTAACGATTTTATTATCAAGGAATGTGATTAGTATATACGTATAATTTGAGATGAAATTAGAATGCTCAAAAAAGTTTGGGGACTAATTTAGAATGATGGTCACAATTTAAGAATGAAATTAAAATATTAAGAAGTTTACAGATAAATTTAAGGATCAGTTTAAGGACATATGATGCGATTAACTCAATACGTGAAATTTTAATTTTTGTATAAAATCCGAAATGGAATCCAAATTGAGTTTTGACTTCTTGTTCAACTTGAACAACTGCTACACCAAACAAGTTTTATTTTTCCTTTTTATGTTATTATATATATATATATAAAGACTTGGACGCTGTTTCGTACGGTATTTTGGCTTTTGGGTTCCTTCAACTTCCCCTCTTCTTCCTTCGTCTTCCTTCAACCTAACCCATCTTCCTCCCGAATCAAACAAAACCAAAAGATATGAGTTTTCAGGATCTTGAAGCGGGTCTTGCAAGGCCACACCCAAACAATTACTTGAATTCTTCTCAGCGAAAGCCAACGCAAGATACAGAACACGCTTCGGCTTCGCAGTCGGTGGCGGCTGGGATTTTCAAAATACGAACCGCTATTTTGGCCTTTGATCGCCTTGTTAATTCCCTCGGTACCCTTAAAGACACCGTTGAATTACGCAGCAAGTTGTAAGTTCTCTTGGTTTTTTTTCAATTTGGAAAATTTTGGGTGTTTGAAACTTAAATTCGACCATATAAATTCTAGGCTATGAATGAATTTGACTTTTGATTTTAATTGGAGCTTGGTTTTCGAAATCGAATCGAAAGAATATATATTTGGGCTTTCGTTCTGGATTTCGTGAACCTCTATGATCTCTACCCATTAATTTACTCTACAAATCCCCCTTTTTTTGTAAATTGGATCCGTGTTTTCTATTTTTACTATCGGGAGAATTTAACTTGATTTACTTTTCTTAGTGCTCTGTTTTTTCATATAAACTTAAAATTGACCGTATAGTTATGGAGCAAGAAAGTGTTTGGCTCTTGGTTTTTTAAGCATATTTCAAGATTGAATTAAAGAACATAAATTTGGACCTCCTTTCTGTATCTTTGAACTTCTGTATCTAATAGGGTAAAATTTTAGCCATATACAACTAACAAATAATCGAATGAATGAACGAATACATGATTGATCTATTTTGCCCTTCATGTCGCTGCAATTATAACCTGGGGCACAACATAGATATCTTGGACATGAATCTTTGAATAGATCAGATGGAATTTATGGAATTAATGCAATCAATGACCATGCTTCCTCATCGGCCCTTAATTCTTTTTGTTATCATTGTCAGGCATAAGACAAGGCTACATATTGGGCAGCTGGTCAAAGAGACTTCAGCTAAACTAAGGGAAGCAAGTGAAGCTGATCAAGATGCAGAAGTTAGTGTAAGATAATCTGCTTTTTGTTTAAATATGTTGGTGAAAAAAAATTATGGCATGCAGATGCAAGCCAGTCTTTGTTTTTGGGGGTGCGGTGCGGAGGGTTCAAAGACACTTCTATTGTGTGTTTAGCCTCTCATCACCCATCAGCACTTCATTTCACCCTTTGGTGACACGGGTTTACTTGTTGGTTTCCCCTTCATTCTCTGCTTATGATTTTGTCCTCACATCTTTTGACTAGATTGGTTTCTGGAAATGTTTTTTACTTCCTCTTATAGTTTTTGCTCTCATTTTATAGCTTGTGTTAGAATGAGGGTGGCGGTCTAGATTTCTCACCTGAGTTTCTGTTTTGTTAAACTGCAGCCCTTGAAGAAAATTGCTGATGCTAAGCTTGCGAAAGATTTTCAAGCAGCTCTTAAAGACTTTCAAAAGGCTCAAAGGCTTGCAGCTGAGAGGGAGACAGCATATTCACCTTCTGTTCCCAAAGAAGTTCTTCCTTCCAGGTACTATCACCGAAATTTCTCTTATGTGCATACGGCTGCATAAATGCACATTTTCTGTTGCTTCTAAAGATGGTCATGCATTTCTGAAACTGTCAACACTCGATATAGACATCCATATGTGCATGTTCAATGTGATTCCGATTGTTTATGCCCTGGCCCTTGGTACAAACATCTTGTCTTTTTTTAATGGAGTGGAAAGTTAATCAACCATTTTATGGGTTTTCAAATTGCATTTTGAACACATATAGCAACAATAAAATGTGAAGATTCAAGCATATTACTTTGAAGAGTACTGAGAAATGACTTAGAAACGTTTCTAGTAACCATTTTATAGTCTCAATTGTTGTTGAAGTATATGAAAGATGAAATTGGAATGTAAGTGTGACTCACAAGAGGTGTTGATATTACATTTGGTGTCCTGCAAGCTTCTTTGAGCTACTTTTAGATGGTACAGAGTTGACCATACTGTGTAATTTAATTACTGCCGAGCTGTTATCATTTCTACAAGACTGTTGAACATATGCAGTTATGATGCCTATGAGGTGGAGAAGAATTCATCTAAGAGTCTAGAACACCAACAGCTTCTGGTTACAAAAGGGTGAGCTTTATTTACATTGTATGTCGATGCTATAACCTACTTTTGTGACGCTTGCCTTTTTGCAACGGCTTTCTGGATTTTACTTAATGTTTTCTATTGGTGTGGTTGAGAAGCGTGAGTATTGTGATGGCATAACCTTATTATTTTCATCTTCTTGCTTTAAAAAAATGTTCTCTCCATTGTGCACTGAAATTCATTATTTTGAAGTGGCAACTTTTATCCTGCTTTATATTATTAGAAACTTTGACCAATTGAGAAATTCTTTAGCTTAACTCTGTGAATGATGTTGATGATTCTCAAGAAATCCTATTTGATGGTTTCTAATTCCATAATTGTTACTTCTGTTCTTGCCGATTCTAGAAGCTAATCTGTCACTTCCCAAACTGATCAGCCTTATTTATGTTTATAAAAGTTGCTAATGTACGAGACTCATTTTAATGGTTTCTTTAGCATTGTGGGTGAAACTTTTGCACTGGATTTCTCCAGTAGCATTCTTGGAGGCTTTAAATGATGGAAGCCCGACTTCAAATATATTCTCTTTTTTATTCATGCGATTTGTTTACTTTGTTGGTGTAACAAGCATTCAAGGGGAAAAGCTATTTTCTTATATTGTTTCTCTTTTCTCTTCAATTTTTCATCAATTGACTTTCTTAAGTTTCCATATTGAGAAAAAAAGATATATTCACAACCTTTGTAATTTGCTTTCCTGGAAATGTTTATAACTGTCTTCTTTTTTTTCTCCTGCTAACAGACAAGAAGTTGTACTGTTGGAAAATGAAATCACATTTAATGAAGCTATTATTGAAGAGCGAGAACAGGGGATCAAAGAAGTTCAGCAAGAGATAAGTGAAGTGAACGAGATCTTCAAAGATCTAGCAGTTTTGGTCCATGAGCAAGGAGCCATGATTGGTAAAACTTGTGTCCTTAATATACTTTGGTTCGAATGGTTCTCTTTCTCGCTCAGTATTCTCCAAGCTTTGCCTGCTAACTTCCCAAGCTGTTGTAATTTTATTTCCTCGCAGATGACATTGGTTCGAATGTTGAGAATTCCCATGCAGCAACTGTTCAAGCTACTTATCATCTTAAAAAGGCATCCAAGATCCAGAGAGCAAATTCATCAACAGTAAGTTCGATATATCCAAATCATTTTCCCACAACTCTCTTCCAATATCGATAATTTGTTTGCATGTTTTAAGCAAATCTGTGACATTAAAGATAAAACATGATAATACCTCAACCTTTTCCTTGCAGAGGTGTTTGCTGGTGTTAATCTTTGGGATCATTCTCCTTATTTTCATCGTAGTTGTTGTAGCATAAGCTATGAACGCATTCAGTTGGGGTACTATCCAAACTATACAGTCGTACGTCATCTGTGTTACTAAATTCTTTATGCTGCAAGTAAGATCATCCATGGAGGTTCTTAGTTTGCAGCAAAGCATGTAAAATAGATTTCTCCGTTTGCCTGATTCAATAAAAATTTCGAAGTGAACATGTATATTCGAATAACAGGGTGATGGTTTTATCCGTAGTAATACTGGCAAAAAACAACTCCCATTTGTCTTAGCCTGTAATTTTCTTGTTTTCAATAAGGTTTTGTTGTCGAGATATTACCCATGGTATGCAAATTTTGTTATAACAAAAGCACAAAATGGAACTCATTTTTCGATGGATTCAATGCATCTCATCCAGATATATATCGAGTGGCTTTTAAGTTATTAGGTGCCTCAAGCATCTACACTAATTATTTGGATATTGAGAGGTTTATAAGTTATCACATGCTCACTAGAGCTGTGGGATGTGGATTGCTATAATTATTTTGTTCTTGGTGATGGTACATATTGGTTTAAATCATACTCTATTGAATTAAGGGTAAAGTATATTAATGGTCTGTTTCTTTCTTTGTTGAGTTGCAAAATGATCTTTGGCTATTAAAAATTACAGAAGGTCTCTCAACTATTTACATGTATCAAAATTATACAACTCTATGTTCTTTTTTGAATATTTTGACGATCTTGGGGTAAATAGGATCCTAACGTTCGATTGATTAATCATTTTAACCATTTTTTTAAAGAGTATTTTGACGTCTAACATTTAATTTTAAAGAAAAAAAGATTAATTTTTTAACGTTAATCATTCATTGACTAATAATTTTCATTCTTTTTGTTCCAACATAAAACATAAATGACCAAAATATTCTAAAATAAATTCATATTCAAATTCTGGAGATCTTTTGATACTATACGAAAGTGATCATGGCGATAGAAATCTATGTTGAATTATTTAAGCTCAGCCACAGTGAATATATCACGAGACTACTTTATAATGGACCGAGGGGCATGGGATTAGGGTTTGGGACCACTGCCTCCATCGCCTTTACTTTCCTCGAGATCTGCATATCTAATCCTCAGTATTTGTCTTATCTAACCGCTCATATGGATTTTAGGGATTCAGCTCACAACAGTGTAACTTAATTACGTCCGTGTTAAAAAATAATAATAATTATTTTTTAGAGATCATGAATTTTATCATCAACGATTATAATAATATAATAAAATATTACTATTAAATGATTAAGGATATATAGAATAAATATTTCTTTGTAATCATTTTAATTTATAAAATAATTTAATTTAATTTTTTAAGATTAACTACATGATTGATCACTTATGTTTGTGTTTGTCAATTTTTTCTCATTGATTTTAAAAAAATTATATATGATTTCTTTTATTTTTATTTAATTAAGATATGATTATCGCAACTTTAATTAAATAAACTAAAATTTACATCATTTCCACGTAGATTAGGTTATCACTTAGATTCGAATTTTATCTACTTTTCCTCATTGATTTTAAAAAACATAATACATACGATTACTTTCGCTTTTATTTAATTAAGATGTAGTCACCACATGTTAACTATCATTAGACTATTAACGATTTACTGAGTTGATATGATAATTAAGTAAAATAATAAAGACATTATTTCCACGTAAATTATACGTGGATTAAGCTTTAAGAAAAATAATCGATATAAACATGAAATAAGATGTCATCAACCATCTCTTTTCTTCAAATCCCTACAACAGTCTCCTTTGAAATACTTTTCTTCAAATCCCTAAAACAACACCCTTCTGATATCCCTAACAGACCTTAAAATCTTAAGAAGGAGAAAAAGACAAGCCGACAAAGAAAAATATTATGAAATCAAGCAATGACGATTTTAATTCGTTCTCCACAACCACAAGACAAACACATGATCTTATGCTAAGAGGGTAAATTCATAAAATTATAGGTGTGAAAATAGATTATTAATTGAAAATAAAAAAAAACTAAAATAAATATAATTTTAAAATTTTCAAGAGAGCAATTACCCCACTTCAGTCCATCCTAGCAAGATCAATCAATTTTTTTTATATAAAAAAACAAAGTAAAGGGAGATATTAGAAATAGAAGATGTCCTTCAGTCAACCTAATTCAACCTATCAATCTTTCATTTAGTCAAACCTCTAAAATGGGAAAAAAAAAAGACATTGTTAAAACCATGGTTCACTTTTCTCAGTTCTTGCAGGATAATAGTTCGGGGATGGCTTTTAAGGTTTTGCATAGATTTCCAATATCAAGCAAGAAAAAAGGCAGAAGGAAGCAATACCCAAATATTCTCTTGTGATTTGCATTTCAAGTGAATCTACATTCTAAAATTCATCATGGCTAAAAGTGGTATTCCACAACATACCTGATATATGCATATATTTGTACTATTGCGTATGTTTCATTGGATAACAGCCGTTTGGATATCATATTGTTATGCTACTAGTAAAATAGCATTGAAGATAACTCCTTTTAGCAACAAAAGTTTATCATTAAACAAAAGATTTTATTGCCAGCTTCGTAGATCATCATAATCATCAGCATTAACCCCTGCAAAACCATGGAATAAATTGAGAACACAAAAATGATTTGTTTCTTTCAAGTTGTGCTGATAACAAATTCAAGATTGCAAAAAAGGGGGCATTTTGCACAAGACCTTGTCTAAGTAAGAATGAAAAGTTTAGGATAGGATTGAATTATTAAAAATGAAAAATACATAACAATAAATTCAGGTCGTAAGGGCACTATTATTTTTTAAGGAAGACTTGATATGCATTTCAACAGAAGTTAAATATGATGCAGAGCATTATTAATTATTTTAAAAGAACATATCACGATGCCCGGGGGATAGGTGCAAGAATTAGTACTATGTATAGCACTCCAGGTCATAGCTAAATATGGTAGATAGATTGTTTGAAGATTTACCTCACAACAGCAAGAAACACATTTACACAATTTCTAGGTCATCAACCTCTCTGGCTATTTGATGTAAGAAGGCCCATTTGCTCCGTAAGATGATTCATATGTTGAATCCCATCCCATCCATTATCCTCCCCTACGAGTAATTCATGTTCACCGGTTGCACCATTTTCGGGAGAACAAGAGTTAATTTCATCTGTGTCTCCACTGGGGGGACTTGTTGTAAGAAACTGTTCCCAGAAAACATCACTAATTGCCGGAAGCTTAGGGGTTCCATCCAGCAAGATGTCCATATCATGATCAGTAGAAAGCTCACCCGTTTCTATAGATTTTGCACAATTCAAAATGGCTGACACTGGATCAGCATACTCTGCATTCCCTCTCTCAGACCCTCCTCCCAAACTTGCATCAGTAAAGCCAATATTATTATCACTATCAGGCACAATTGCTTGCATTTGAGGGATGTTTGGAAAAACTGCATCATTTTGTGATTTATGCAGATTTATGTCCAACATTTTACCTACCTCAGTATGCTCACAAGCGTCAGGAAAACTTGATTCTGCTTGCAGATAAGATTGTCCAGAAGGTGGAGGGACTTCTGAAAGTGTCACTCCAGAAATCCGACTGGAGCAGCTCCCACTGTCTAGTGCATTGGAAGAAGGAATACCATCAATCATGAAAGCACCAGAGTTATCTATCGAAGGTTCCAGTCTAGGTGATGTGTTCATCTTCAATATCTGGTGCAGCATTGCCTTTGCTGCCTCATTAAGTGAAGGTTGAAACTTTACAATCTGTCCTTTGGGAGATATGGTGCCATTTTCATCAGTTATGTCTTCCTCATCCTGCCTGGGGAGTCTCCTCTTTTTGTTTCCACCAGTAAGCTGCCTGTTGCTTTCATTCTGATTTTGTACAAGCTGGTTTAAGAAACCTGGACTTTGCATGGCCTTCGCAAGAAAAGACATCATTTGCTGCTGTCTCTGCTCCATCACCTGTACACGCTGTCCTACAGCTTGCAGCTGGTTATCTGTGGCTTGTTGCTGCTGTCTCAGCCTAACAAGTTCCTGCATGAGAACATTCTTGTCCCTCTTCAGCCTTTCAACCTCCTCTTCGAGTCCAAACTTCCCTACCTCAATGCAAGCTCCAACTGTTGAGCTCTGTACTTGAGGTTGTTGATTACTATGGACATTAGTAGGTTTTCGCCTGCTGATAGTTTTCAGGAGTTGCTTCTGACCTCTTAGGAACCCCTCATTTGCAAATTCCAACGGTCTGGGTCAACTTTCCTAAAACCCTAAAGGAAAAAAAATTATGATGATCAACGACAAGAGTAATCACATATATTTGCCAAATAGAATGTAGGAAGCCCACATATGCGTAAAGCAGGATTGAATTTTAATATCTAATTGAATCACATATCATCCATCTTGTTTGAGCTTCAACGCCTGACCACAATCAGTTAATAATTACAAGCATATACTTAAACCTGCAGATAACAAACACAATTACAACTAGATGAGTTCTTCAGATCAAGAAAAAGAAGAGGTCAGAACAATTCAATCCATAACATCCTCCCTCTCAAATGAATTAATTTCAAATTACAACCCATGGGCCATGTGCTTACAAATAATATTCTCCTAGTTTCTCCTTCAGGCTTTTGCTCACTTGTTGGCTAAAATGCATTTTCAGTGTCAGAAGACATTGAAAAAAAGAAGAAAAGCTAATCTGAGAAAATCGGGAAATCAATTTTTGATTTAGCCAATCCCCTGAATTTATTATCTTTCTCAGAAAATCCTTAAACTTAATGTAAGCTTAAGATGCCTCTTGACTTATACTAAGTAAACAAATATAGTTAGATCAAACATGGCAAGAATATAGAAAAAGAATAAACTTGGTCAAAAGCATGGAATATAAATGCATCTCCAGAATTTATAGTATTTAACTGAAAAACATCATTAAGGACGTTTAGAATTTGTTCCAGGATCGTGAAATCAATATAAAAAGCCATAAGGAAGAAAAGTAAAAGGCACCTCTGTTCCTGATCTGAGAGCAAAAAAATCATACATGAATAACTAAAGTACTTTATCTACTTCAAATTCAACAGAAAAGATTAGTACGAAATAACTGCAATTAGTATAATTCTTTTGATAGTAAAGTTGGTCAAAATATATAAATGGCTAGTTAGCCATATGCTCAATGGTACATTAACTGCAAATGTAGTCATATAAAAAAGCAAGCTAGTAACTACTACAACAGGATTCCTGCAGCTATGAAGTTAGAATGTGAAACTAGACTTCATCGCCATTACCACGGGGAAGGTAGAAAGTAATAAGTTTAGTGCACTCAAGTTTGTAATGCTATGTGCATCGATCACAACCAACTCAAACAATGTTATTGCTAAACAAAGATGGAATATAATCTCTCCTTCAAGAGAACAATTAAGTGTGAGGATGAACCAAGAGATGCTCACTACAAAAACCATTGAACTCGGACAAGAAGTTTATTTGCTTTTTCCAGCTTTATTTTTTATAGGAATATGCATTCAATGGACTAAGTACCAAACAATAAAACCTCCAAAGTAGCATTAGAAGTCAATACTTTTAGCCACAACCCTCATACCAAAATTTCCGAAGTTAGCCCCAGCAACAGACAGATAAAGAGTTTATCAGTTTTTACTGTTTACATTTCATCTCAATTCTTCCAGGTTGTATTCCATGGTAAACAGTTTTCAACCAAACATCTCTATACCATCGCCAATTCTACATGATAATAGGAACTGCATCGATTATCAAATTTCAAAATGCACAAAGGAATAATCTTGTTGTTACTAATCCTATACAACATAACCAGCATATTATGATTGAAATTCCCTTAGTTTATTTTAACAGATCAACATCCCCGTTCAATTCAGCTTACACAATTACTATACCATAAATTCATGATCCAGCAGCAATATGGGTTCTAAAATCTCTCCTCCAAAGGCAACTCCATCATTAAAACTATTCACGGTTAACGTCAATCTCATTTACACACACACACAAAGCAATATAATAACAACAACCCAAATTCCCAAATGTTGAGTGAATGATGTAAGCTCACGTGAATGAAGAGTGCTTGTGTAATGTCATACATGGGAGCAGGATTGTAGCTGATGGATATAGCTTGCATACCTGTCAAGTCTGTTAGGAAACTATTCTAGAAGTTGTTAGTTTGTTAAAGTTTGTTATGAATTTACTATAAGTAATTAGCTTAGGTGATGTATAATGCAAGCTTAATGAAAATACTTCTGATATTCTGTTTGATTCGAGCTTTGTTTTCTGCAATACTCAACATGGTATCTTTCGCCAAAATCCTGGGAATTTTGGTTTCACGCTTCTAAACTGCCAACCTGGAACTGGCAAAACTGCCATCGCCATGGGCATCACAAAGTTCCTTGGCCTTGAAACCCCTTTCTCTGTGCTCTATGGCAGTGAAATCTTCTCTCTGGAAATGTCGAAAACAGAAGCTCTAATGCAAGCGTTTCGAAAGTCCATCGACGTAAGAGTCAAGGAAGAAATCGAAGTGATCGAAGGCGAAGTTTTTGAAATCCAAATAGACGGTCCGTCAGTTTCTGGGGTGGCTTCAAAAACTGGGAAATTGACTCTTAAAACGACGGATATGGATACTGTTTATGATTTGGGGGCGAAGATGATCGAGGCATTAGGGAAAGAAAAGTGCAGAGTGGGGATGTGAACTTCGACTGTTCGGCGACTGGATTCTTGTTACAGGCGATGGGTTCGAGCCAAGTGGCGTTGGTGGCTCTGTTGCTCAGATCGGAAGGGTTCGAGCACTATCGCTGCGATAGGAACCTCTCAATGGGGACTATTGCTTTCATGTTCAAGAACCCAAAACAAGATAAGATAGCGGTTTTTGAGTTGAAGCTAATTGATATTGATGGCGAGCACCTTGGAATTCCAGATGTTGAATACCAAGCTATTGTTAGGATGCCTTCATCTGAGTTTGCAAGGGTTTGTAAAGATCTTGCTAGCCTTGGTGATACTGTTGTTATCTCTGTAACCAAAGAAGGTGTTAAGTTTTCCACAGCTGGTGATATTGGGACTGCAAATATTGTTCTCAGGCAAAACACCAGTGTAGATAAACCAGAAGAAGCGACAATCATAGAGATAAACAATCCAGTATTGTTGACGTTTGCATTGAGGTACATGAATTCATTTACAAAGGCTACCCTGTTGTCGAATACAATGTCAATCAGCCTGTCTCCAGAACTGCCTGTTGTGGTTGAGTACAAGATTGCTGAGATGGGTTATATCAGGCTTTACTTGGCACCTAAGATTGAAGATGAAATGGATGGATTAGACTAATCCATTAGCTAATCATGCAGTAGATAAGTTTAGAATAGATAAAAGAAGGTGAATAAGAAGAACGAAAGAATGCATCGCACTTCCGATCAAGTCGAACGGAAGGAAGTATTGACACTTCCGATTCAAGTCGAACGGAGAAAAGCGTCGGCACTCCCAATTCAAGTCGAACGGAGGGAAGCATCGGCACTTCCGATTCAAGTCGAACGGAAGGAAGCATCAGCACTTCCGATTCAAGCTGAACGGAAGGATGTATCGCACTTTCGATTCGAGTGTTCTTTTCATCAAGAAGGTTGAGAAAGTAGGGAGAATGTTGAGTGAATGATGTAAGCTCACGTGAATGAAGAGTGCTTGTGTAATGTCATACATGGGAGCAGGATTGTAGCTGATGGATATAGCTTGCATACCTGTCAAGTCTGTTAGGAAACTATTCTAGAAGTTGTTAGTTTGTTAAAGTTTGTTATGAATTTACTATAAGTAATTAGCTTAGGTGATGTATAATGCAAGCTTAATGAAAATACTTCTGATATTCTGTTTGATTCGAGCTTTGTTTTCTGCAATACTCAACACCAAACATTCCAAAAACAAAAAGCAGAGCATGAAAATTTAAACGAATCCAGAAACCCTTTAAACTTCAAAAATTGTAATTCTCCTCCAGGAATCACACCATAATGGTCTTAGGATCGAATTCTTAACATGAGAACTAAAAAGCTAAAGATCAAATCAGCCTACAGATGTTCAAAGAATTGCAATTCTAAAAAAGAAAGAGAACCAAACAAGAAAAAACATAAAATCAAAGAAATACCCACATATGTATTGAGCTGTCTGACAAAGCTGGAGAAGTTATTATGCTTGAAATACTTGGGCAGAAGGTCCCTTGAAAACTCCGGTACTTTCCATACAACGAAACTGTTGTTACCACTACCCCACGAAATGACCGAGTTCGTGGAAGGGTCATCCACCACATCGTAGGTTTTGCTCAGAAACGGCGGCACCGTGTTGCCGTTGGCGGCGGCGGTGGTGTTTGCTGCTGAAATTGATTCGTGAAGAGAATCCATTTATTATCTTTTTAATAAAAAGAGAAATCAAAGAAGAATTGGAACACAAGTATTCCAAAATAGTGGGTTTAAGATGAGATTTGTAGACAGATAAAAGGGAAATGGGGATGGTCGCTTTTAGGGTAGTTTTCATTTTATTGTTTGGATAAAGAGAAAAGAAACAGAAAATGAAAAAAAAAACTGACTGACACGTAGCTGTTTTGATAAAAAAAATTGATTTTCGATCGTTGCAATTATTAAAAATTAATAAACTATTTTGTTGAGTCATCAATTGTTAAAACTTATAAAATGGTCCTTTAATTATAAGGATTATCGTTGATACTTTCAATCATTAAAAATTATAAAATTATCAACTATTAATATATTCTAAATTCGTTATTTTTATTAAAAATTTGACGATCGTCTGAGTTGGACGTTAATCTGTTGATTGAGATATAATAAAATTTAATCCTAAAACCGTTTGAATAGTTTAGTCGTTGAGATTATATGATCAAATTTTATCACATATGAATTATAAGGTTATCCAAAGTTAATCTAATCTCTCATCCATTGACAGTACAATAGATTTTACCAATCTCCCCACTCATTGACAGTACAATAGATTTCATCTAGATAATAGGAATTGAATTTTCTTGATGATTGGAGCTCATACAGTTGGAAATCTAGGCAAGGAAAACGCAACGAAAATTACACAACCTAGATTCATCCTAGGATTTTATGTATATCACACTAGTTACGGTAAAATAAATCATGACATTACTTTAATCTTTGGTTTAAAAATCCTTCTATGTTATCTTTGATTTTATTTCAATTTTTAAAGGTATTTTATTTCTAAAAGACGATAACCCTCTACAAGTATCCACACACGAACGAAGCATTTTTATAGAATGCTAGTTCTAATATGTTTTTTTTTCAAAAACAATTTTTATGGTTTTGATTTTGGGCAGTTATAAAGAGTGATTGACCTTACCCTCGTGTGTGTGTGTGTATATGTGACTTAAGTAGGGTTAGGCTGAACCCTTTGTTTTTAATTAATTAATTTAAAACTCCTTTTAAATTAAAAAACAATTAAATCATATCCGTTATTTGATAAGAAATTTAATTTCAACCAAAACTTAATAAACATGTTTTTAATAGTTTTTCTGAATCAAAAAGAAATATAATAAAAAATATTTTGTCAAAATAATAGAAATTTAACTTCTTAAATTTGAATAAGAAATAAACCTTATAAATATAATTTAAAATAATCTCATTATCTTAAACTATTAGGTAAAAAGGCACCACGGTCCCTAAACTTTAAAAGATATCAATGTGGCCCTCCAACTTGATAAAAGAACCCAATGTGGGCATTTGACCAATATTTTCTGTCATTGATCATTGGTTCCTTTTATTCTTTTTGGGTAAATTCACAATTCATCACTGAACTATTTTCTTATCTTTTATTTTGGTCACTAAACTATAAAAGTTTTTAATTTCAAAAATCCTAGAGACTTCAGGGGACTAAGGCTGTAGTTAACCCATTTTACCCCATTTCTCTAACTCCTTCACTCTGCTTCTCGCCGCCGCCGCATTATTGCTCCTAGGTTTTTATCAGAAAACCCAGATCAAATAACTCCTGCGTTTTCATCATAAGAAGGTAGAAGAACAATGTTTAATTGGCCAATATTCAAGATTCCACTTTTTTAAACAATAATAGGGGAAAAGAAAACAGAATCCATGAACTCCACAGAGATGAAATTAGAGGCGGATTACCGGATATGATGATGAAGAAAGGGGGGGGAACAGAATCCATGAAGAAATGGAGCTTAGCAGGAGGCTAGGCCTAGAGGGAAACCAAATAAAATTTTGGTTTCAAAACAGGAGAACTCAGATGAAGTGGATGATCTTATTTTGTTTTACTGTACAATATTGATGGTTGAATTGATCTACACTCGTGTTTGAAATTCTAGACCCAATTGGAACGCCATGAAAATGTAATTGTTAGGCAAGAAAACGATAAACTCCGTGCCGATAATGACTTGTTGAAGCAGGCCATGACTACTCCTGTATGCAACGGTTGTGGTGGTCATGCAGTGCCCGATGAAATATCTTATGAACAACACCGGCTTAGGATCGAGAATGCTCGATTAAAAGACAAACTTAGCCGGACATGTGCTCTATTAAACAAGTTATTAGGCAGTCTGAAAACATGGAAACAGGGGAAGCGGTTTGGGGAAGAAAACATACGAAAAAAAAGGGAGAAATTGATATTGTTTTCCAAATTATTTTAGATTTACAAAAAAATACTCATGATTAGTAATTTATCTTTAAATAAAAGTGACAGAAAATAGTTGAGTGATGAATAGTATAATTTATCCAACATGAATTAACGGAATCATTGACCAATGACAGAAAACGTTGATTAAAGGGTCACATTGAGTTCTTTTTTCGAGTTGGAGGGTCACATTAATCCAAAAAGTAGGATAAGAGCTACATTGGGTTTTTTTTTTAAATTGTCTTTTTACCTTAATTATTATTGATAGTAATAACCAAAATCATTCTTAATTTGTGACCCTATATGTTCAATTAACGTTGACAGTATATAAAATCACATTTGATCCTACATGTCATAAGTAACCTCTAGCAACACATTATGATTATCCAAGTTAAATGAAAAGCTCATGATCTGAGACAACCTTAACAGAGTTCATGTCATAATCCTTATCTCATGATATTTTGATAGAATATAAGACATGAAAAATTTCAACATTATATCACTCCATCTTCAGTTTATCGATACTTAATTAAACTAATTAAACAAATAACATTGATCTCTATCAATTCATTTGAGTACGATCATGTATTTCTTAGTTTCAATCATTAAGAGACCCTGAGATATCTCTTTTACAATAAGAGGGATAAATTTCATCTTAATAACTTATATCTCACTACATGATTCATATCATGTTCAAACATAAACTTTATACTTGTCCGATTAAAAACAACGTTTGATTATGTCAAAACATAATAATCATCATGTTAAGAACCGTAGTAATTTCAAGTCTAATACTTTAATGACATAACAATTTAAAATTAATATATAATTTAATTCATGTATTAATCTTAAAACAAATCGTTCCGATACTTATTCTCAACAAATGATATGTTTGAAATACAATATGAGAATTGCCTCTGCCTATAGAGAAACTGGAAAACGTACCCTCTTGAACTGTCTTACTGAGCATGACATTTAACGATTCTTCAATGATGTTGAACAGAAGATACGATAACGGGCACCTTTGTCAGATACTTCTCGGTGTTGAATCTCTCGGTAGGAACACAATTAACAAGAAATAAAATATTTTCATTTAATAATTTTGTAATAAATTTATATTTTTCCTTCAATCAAATTTTTTAGCACGAATAATTTAACGCAATTTTTAGTTTTGTCCGTAATATTTATATTTTTTTAAAGTCAATTGGGATAGGACTTAAAAGGGTAAAGAAGACTCGTGTTGGGAATGATTCTTTAAACGACTTTTTTTAATAAACTTTTTAAACGTAAAAACATCACTTTTTGAACTTTTTGGGTTGAATCAATAATTACTTTTCAAACATAATTTTTTAACTGAAAATGAGGTGTTTAAAATCGATTTTACGTTTCAAACAAATTTTTGGATCAAAAACACTTCCATAAACATTCTCAGACAAAAATTCAAACTTCACTTGAAATAAAAAATAATTCCACTTTTAATAAAACATTAACTACTAATTTCACTTGCACCTTGGGGGTGTAACTCATCTGGTAGAGCGCTCGCTTCGCATGCAAGAGGCACTCCACAGCTCATCTTACTTCCTTGAGCTCAAAGCTAAACCAGCTAAAGTTGTTTGCATGGTTCGTCTCATTTTTCTGGCTCTAAAGGGGTAAATAGACGCTTTGCTTGGCTTCCATTTTCTTTGTTGTAT